TTATCAGCTGAAAAAATATTAAAAGATTATTGGCAAAATTCAATTAAACAAAGTTCAACAAATATAATTGTTGATATTATACAATTACAAGAATATCTTGCCTATTCATCGAAGTAATTCAAATGTTTTGTTTACAATTTTATTTTTATTTTTGTATTCTTTTTCTTAGTCAATTATATACAACAATAAAATATAGAGTTGTTACATTCAATGGTTATACGATTCCAAATATATGTTTTAATTCAAGTTTATTTCAAACAATGCATAGTTTATGTGATATACAGAATAATTATATGGAACAAGTACCAATTGGATATATACCATCATTTATTGATCTAAAAGGAAGTTATTTACAAATTGATCTTGATCAAGAAAATTTTGTTGAATTAATTACTTCATCATTACAACGAATGGGTGTTAGTAGTAAAGGTAAATTGAATGAAGAAGTTTTAATTCGAAAAATAAATTTGATAAGAATAAGACAAAAAAAAAACATAGTTCAATGTAAAATTTAATGGAAATTCGTCAAATGAAAATTTCTATGATAATGATCTTGAATCGATATTACATGAACAGTCAATTTCCATGTATTGAGATTCACGATTTGCGATAAATGTGTCAGAGTTCTCGTTTCTTGAGAACGAGAACGTATCCAAAACTAGGTTCTCTAATACATTTTATGTATACTAAGATATTCATACAACTTTATCTATCTTTTCATATAAGACTATTGTGCGCTCTGGGTTCCTAGGAACGGAGACTCGAAAGAAAGTTTGGAGTTATCGAGAAACGGAACTTCGGATGGATTGCACTCTCGAAAATTCGAAATCAAATTTTGGAATCTTAAGTTTAGATAGTAAAGAACCCAAGAGGACATGTTATTTTTAACAATATTCTTGTATTACAAGTAGGAATATCAGACTTCTCGTTTCTGGACGTACCATTCTCAACGAACGAGAACCCATCCCAAACTGTATTTTTTATATATACTGAGATGTTTGTACATCTTCTTCTGTCTTTTTATGTGCGACTGTTATGCGTTCTGGACTTCTCGGAACGGTACATGAAAGTGTAACATTTCGTATCACGCAGGATTGCAACTGTTATTTTTAGAGCTTATTCCGAAGCAATTTTTTTTCTCTCATACGTAGACACCTACAATTAGGATTTGCAGAGTCTTAATCAAAATATAATAAAAAAAATAGGAAAATGTTCAACCTTGCACTTGATAAGAAATTTTACACGACCAATGCAGAAGATTAGAAATCTTAGTTCTGGTTTCGATAGAATTAGGATCAGATAATCCAACGGATCCTTACTTTTCAAGTTTTCATTTGAAGAGCTACTAAATCTTGTATAATCACAGCATCGTGTGATTATTTGTCTTCATCTCTTTCCATATTCGTATCCATTAGGAATATCGGTATTCAAATAGAACAATATGTTGATTTTTTTTTCAAATCAGAATCTAAGAATAACAAGCGCATTTTTCTTTAGTGTCATCTATACTGACCGAACTACGGTTTGGATTAGACATGTCATTACTCACACGAGTTTATTATACGATTATACCGAATCAAATAATTAGTCAAGAACAATTGTATGATCAATTGAAGGTATGTTTTTTTTTCAATTTCGATAATCTAAATATAGTGGTGGACATAAGTTGAAAGAAGTTGTATTTTTTAAATTTCCTTCTCGATGGTAATAGATGATAAGAATCTAAAAAAGAACATTTATGTAGCTGAAAAGATTCTCTATTAAAATTGATAGGTTCAAAGATCCAAACAGAACTACTTGGATGAGAATCTGCAGAAAACTAAGACTCCAAAAACCAGTTTTCTTACTTCCATTTGAAGCTTTTGGGAAAATATTTTATTTGATAGAGCAAGATGAGACGTCTTCGATTTCTTCATGACCTTCCTTCATCAAGCTGCATTCAATTTACACAACACTCCAAAGCGTTAAACATGTTAAAAACATTGAAATTTTCAATAGCAAGCAAAAAGGAAGGTCAAAGAGAGATCGAAGACATCTCATCATGCTCTATCAAATAAATTTTTTTTTAAAGCTTCGAATGGAAGTCAGAAAACTGGTTTGGGGATTCTTGATTTCCTGCAATTCTTCATCCAAGTAGTTTTGCTCAAATCTTCAGACCTGCCAATCCCAATAGAGACTCCTGTCAGTTACACAAATGTTTTACTTCAGATTCTTGCTAGCTATTACCATTGAGAAGAAAACTTAAAAATATAGCTTCTCTAGACTTCTGTCTGCCACTATATTTGTTTTCAATTTTTTTTGTTTTATATAGTTTACTTTTTCGACAATTCATACACGAAAATATGAATTATATCCAATGGAACAATTATCTATTGTACGCACTGATGCTCATCAATATATTGCTAATGTTTCATTACCAATAAATGATTTCATTCGAAAAGATATTGAAAATTATTTAACATCATTAAATCCACGTATGTTTATTCGAATTTTTAATTAAATATTAAGTTTTTATTTTTTTAGAATATGGACATGCAAAAATTGTTTATATTGAATCTCTTAATATAAATCAAACTCGTTTTTATTTAACTGTAAAATTAAATTCTGAAACAAAAAAAAAGAGTCTTGTATAAAATATTTCTTTCTTTCTTTAGTTTATCAATCAAAAACAATTAATTACTCGATGTGATTTTAAACTTTATTATCCTGGTATTTCAATATTTAATGAAGAAAATCTTGAAATAAATAGTCTTTATCTCGATCGAAATATGTTCATTGCTAAATCAGCTTCACTTATTGATAATCTTAATCAATTATGGACAAATGAAAATTTAAATGATTCAAAAAATTTATCTATTCAATTACAAAATCAAATTCAATATATTTGTTCGGACGGGTAAATTTTAATAAAAAGAAAAAAAACGAAGATTAAATTTTGTTTTTTTTTGTTTTTCAGAAAACGATCTGTTCGAATTGATTATATTATTAAAAATCTTTCAGGTCATAATTTAAAATCACCTTCTAATACAATATTTGAAAAAATGTTTGGAAAATTTCTCAATAATTGTATTTCATATGAAGTACGTTCGATATATTTAACTGAACCACGTTTATCAAATAAAGAGATTTATGAAGCATTAGAAAATGCATGGCGTCAATCGAATAGTAAAAATTTATCGTTTGATATTATTTTCTTTTATTAACATTTGTTTTTTTGTTCTCGTTAGATAATTTTCCAATAAAGATTTCTTCAGAATTTTTTATTGATTCATCTTATTTAACAAATAAAAAGTAAATGATAAGATGTATTTTTCAATTCTATTTTATTATTTGTTTTAATTTTTTCTAGTCAAACATTAACACGTTTAATTTATACAATAAATTCTAATACATTAAGAATTATTCAACCATTAACAAATTCAATTCATTTATCAAATATTTATACAGATATTCCATATAAACGATCGACAATTTATGTTGAAAATAAAACATTAAATTCAACAATATCATCTATGATTAATAAAGCATTACGATTAAGTTGGTCAAAAGCAAATAGTTATCTTTTTTCATCAAATGATGTATTTATACCATCAATTAATACTGTACTATGCGAGTAAGTTTTGTTTTTCTTTTTGATTAACAAAAGTATCGATCGAAGAGATTTATAATTTTTGAATTCAAATTTGACGATTATCGAGAATATCTCTAGATTAGAATAACTGTTCTAATTTCGAGCCTCTCGGCAGTCATCGAATTCTGATCATTCGAAAACTGTATCCTATCGGACATTTATTTTCGACTCCTCAAGCAATTTTAGATTCCTCAATAATCATTGAAATTTCGAGTACTCGAGAAAAGAAAAATATCAGAAGCATAATATTGAGTGCTTCAGTAGAAGCATGTCTAGCAGAATAATAGTTTCAAATGGTGAAGTTAATTTTCATTTTGTGAAACTTTTTCAAAAAGTGATTTACAAATGTCTTTTTCATTCAACTACCTTAGTAGGATCATTTATGTTCGACATATATTTTCCTGAATTTCATAATTTTCTAAAAAAAAATATTTATCATTAACTGATGAAAAATAACAAATGAGACCGGAATCCATAGGCATTTTTGGCGAAGAACACAGCCATAATGAATTTTGCGTTTTGAATATTTGAAAATTTTTTTTTTTAATATTAATTTTATACTTTACCACATAAATCAATTATTTATCGAATGTAATATTTATCAAATATGCCTGCTTATATAGCATTTGATACTCCAAAAAAAGCCATTTCTTTAGCTAGACACACATAAAAGATATTTTTATTCGATTGAAAACTTGTTTTTTTTTTGAATTTTCGAAAATTGTTAGCAAATGTTAAAATAATAATCTTGAAAGTACTATCTTTCCAAGAATTGAAAAGATAACTCTCATAGAAGAACAATAGTTCATATTTAGTTTAAATATTCGACGAATGTTAATTGTAAGTATCCATGTTTGAATCTACTTCTCTACGTTGATTCGATAGGCTTCGCCGACTCGAGAATGAGGCATCTATAGGAAAAAATCCGGTTTCATTTTAATTAAATTTTGATCCCCTCGGTAAAAATTGTTTGACTGATCGAAAGCTCAACGTTTTACTGACCAATCGAAAAGTGAAAATCTGAGGGTCCGTTTGCAATTTCGATGTCAACGGTAACCTATCGGATGTCGAGTTAGGCGGCTGGATAACTCTTCTCTACTAAGTTACGAAAATTTTCTTGAATTTTGACCGAAAAATTAAACAAGAGATTTTTTTAGTTCAAACTTCGTCTTTAATTAGATCTCATAATCCTAAGAATATAAAGTGAGAAGAATTGATAGTTATTCGACATGAGTATTTTAAGAATGAATGAATCATTTTGAGTAAAACTTTGTAGGATATTTTTCAGGTAAGAAGACCTACTTATAGATGATATTTCAAGTTGAAAATACTATCCTTTGATTGAAATCAAGCAAAATCCATCAAAATATAAAATGATGGCCTGCCACAGTAAGATTCAATGAAGTTTTTCATACTGTGTATCTTCTCATTGGAGGAATCATATTGACTCTGAGGTAAACTATATTAATTCAAAGTTTACATCAGTATCAAAAATTATAAGTGTCACTTTCTTTTCCATGATTATATCTAACGAGAAAAGCTTCTCAACTGATTAATCGTTTTTTGAGTCGAAACTGCGATTTCTGACGATATTTTGGAATTTCGACTTAAACTTTATATAGAGATAGGCCTTAACGAAAGGAGTTTCTTGTGAAAGTTTCATATCTTTTGAACATTGAATCTACGAGGCTATACAAGCGATGTGAAAAGCATGCTTTTATCACAGATGTATTTCAGGAGAGAAATAATGAAAATATCTAAAATTTTCACTACAAACTGTTTCTGTTAAAGTCTATCTTGATGTGAATTTTCAAGTGAAATTTTGAAAATCAATTTTCCTAGTATTTCTGAGGAGGACTACAGCATTGTACTTGAAAACATCGTTAAAATTCAGTATCTCCGCAGTAATATGTGAAGGGCTCGAACTCTTTTCATAGTATTTATAGCTCATGAGAGTCTATCTGATGTACACAGTTGCGAATCCAAACCGATTAATCAGTTGGAAGACCTTTCTCATAAGTTTCATAAATTATATATCAAACTTAGGCAGGGAATTTAACAGTATTACGTAGACCGAATGATGCTCTGACTTATTATTATTTATTATTAATTTCATTAAATACTTGGAAACTTTTCTCTAATAAAGTTCAAAACAATATAATATATACTACATTCCAAGAGCATATGCTACATAATAAATTTGTCGTGGGCATTTATTTAAATATTCATTTTGATTAATTGAGCTGAAATTTCTGAACAGTTCATATTAATCTACTCTGGTCAAACGAATACTTTAGTTCATCCGAACAAAAGCTGATTATTAACATCAACTCATTTGAGACAGAATTGTCTGTCAACTCTCACATTGTTTTTAATTTAATTAGTCTATACGCTTACGATTTTTTATAAATGTATTATATTATTTTGTTAACAGTCTTCTTGTAGAAGAAAATTTGAACTATCATAGGAAATCGTATATTTAATTTTCACATTCTTGATAATTATATGATTTGACAATAGTCCAAGTAAATAACGAAAGAAGAGAAATGAATCGTTTTGTTTAAATGACAAGAATTCAATTGATATTCCATTCACTATCAAAATATTACATTGTACAGTGTGTATTAAAATTATTCAACTAAGTTTATTTTCAATATGTTTTTTCCATTGTCGGAAGCATTAAAAAGAATCCAACTAGTGATTCAAATAGAGAAGATCGTCTCCAAGAAGAATATAATGAAGTAAAAATAATTATCGGATTTACAAAGACAGAAAATTCAGAAAATTAAAATCCTCGTTTTTCAGTACCTAGAAAGGTTAAATATAATTTTGTTTAGACTACATTGAACGATAGAATAAATAATTGTCTACAAAATAAGATGTCTCCAAATTCTCTACAACATTTTTTAGCTGGAATACAGCAATCTTACAATAGTTCCTAAAGTCGGTTTTTTTTTCAATTTCCTATAGCAAAGCCATCATTTGACCTTCAATCAAATTACTATATCTCGACCAAAAAGTGTCACAGAGAATCATATGCTCTATGATTCTTCATAACATAAATAAAATTATATTTAAGCATTCTAGGTGTTGAACAACCAAGATTTTGGTTTTCTGGAGTCTCTATCTTTGAGAATTTGATCGTTATTGTTGGAAACCATTTTCTCTATTCGAGTCACTAGTTGAATTCTTTCTAGCGCTTATGACATCAGAAAAAATTTGAAAATAATCCCTGTTGAATAATTTTGGTATCTACTGTATATTGTTTTTAAACTATTATAATAGAAAAAATATTGAAATATTTAGTAATGGACAAATAAAAATTGATTATTTAATTGGTTTACGATATGGTGATATTGGAGATTATTCTCAACCATCTGAACAAATTTATTCACAAATATTCAATGAAACTAGTTTAGCAACATTAGTTCATTTACGTTATATGGCAAGAAATAGTAATGAAGTATTATTAAATAATGATCAAACACCATTGATTCCATTTGATTCTCGATCTAGTAGTCCATTCGATGCGGTAAATTATTCAAATAAAGATAATGAAATTTTTGTTTTAAAGGCTTTTCTTTCTCTTCTAGCCTGAATGGTGGGTTGTTTTAATTGGTGTTATTGCTCTATTAATTATTTGGTTAATTTTATGTTTAATTTGTTATATATATTTTCGAAAACGGTCAGAATAAAAAAAAAAATAAAACAATTAATCTGTATATTTTTGTTTAAATCTTTGTTTTTGTGTTTTTTTTTTGTCGAATAGATCAACAAATCGTTATCATCATAATATTTCTAAACGTCCAACTAGACAAATGGATGTTCTTGCTCGAGAACAAGATCATTATTTACGTCCATCATTATCATCATTAGCATTTGATGGACCATATGTTGAATCATTTGATTCATCAGCTGATGATCATCAAAAAATATCAACAAGAACAATATCATCACAACCTGAATTACAAGTTCGTCGTTTATCAGAACAAGATTGGCCACATTTTGCAATGCATAATCCATACGGTGGATGGCCATCAGTTCTTTTAAATTCACCATCACATTCAACTGATTCAAATCGTCCATGATAAAACTTTGTTCTATGACATTTTTAGTATTAACAAAAAAAAAACAAACAAACTCTGATTTACTGTGATTGTATAAGATATTCATCGTGGTCGTTTGGTTTTAATGCGTATTAGACTATTACATGTAAGATATTTGCTTGTCTTTTGATTGATATTTTTTTTTTGGTTCTTTTGTTTGAAAAAAATAAAATAAAAAACTTTTAACCAATAAAATAAAAGATTACATTCTTTTATGATACACGATACAAGTTGAATAGAAGAGTCCGTATAAGTAATAGCTATACCTGTCCAAAATTAACATAAGCAGAACTCGCGAGATTTCTTGGTGAACGTTTCTCTTTTCGACATTCTTGAATTACTGGCCAAAGACATAAAACCTAAGAAAATGATTATTAGAAAATCGAATTTTTATTTTTCGCTTTAGGAATGCACACCAATTTCTAGAATATGATGTCAAAGATGACATATTTTTCTTTATTAAGAATATAGTTTCTGTGAATATCGACCATGATCAGTTTTTTTTTGTATATTCGAAACTGTTGTAGTCGAACTTCATGTAATATAAAACAAATGTTTTGGAAATGATCAAGAATTCGTATTTTTCAGTGTTTTTCTTGACTGAATTCAAACTGATTTTGAGTTCTGTATTTTGGATTAAAGAAAATCTTAGAATAGCTTCGGAAAGAGCGTTTAAAAGCGATCACAACTGGCATGAAGAGTCGCCGGTAGCTTGGTAATTCTCTGAAGTTATTCTTATGTTTTGTCTAATGCAAAATACAAGTCTCGAAATCAGTTAGAATTGGTTGAAATCCAAACTAAAAAAATACGAATTTTTGATCAATTTTGAAACCTTTGTTTTGTATGACATGAAGTTCGACTACAGTTTCGAATATACAAAAATAAAGTCTGATCATGGTTGATGTAAATAATCTAGAAGAACTACAGTCTTAATAAGGACAAAAAAAGTGTCATCTTTGCCATCATATTCTAGAAATTGATGTATACCTAATTCTTTTATAAATCTATTACTTACTAAAAGAATAAGTGTACAAACAGCAATAACAACTGAAATAACAACAGTGCCGAAGATAACAACTGGTATTGTCATATTATTCTATATCAAAATCTTGAATTTCGTTTATTTTATTGGTGTCTGTTGTAGATGTGACACGATGGTAATAGATACACTATGTTAGTTGCTTACAAAGATTTGTTTGAAGGTCACGTGTAAAAAAAAAGTATATACGATAAGAACAGAACGAACAGCTATGAGACGATGTTTTTTTTTTTGTGCTTTTTTACGATCTGTTTGCTGTCGATGTAAATGAATATATTGAATCATCATCCGATGACGTCTATTACGTATATTTACCTGAGGCAATGTAATGTGATGCATAGACATCAATATTATTTATCGATTGTTATTCAATATGAGCAGAAAGAAGAGAAAAAAAAATAGTATTCATACTTGTATATTTATATGAAAAATCGAAGCGTATGAGAAATAAAAAGAAAAACAACGACGCATATAAGATGTTTTATTTTGATTATACTATGACCATCTAATCTATAATGAAGATGAGAATAAAAAAGGGTAAACATTTCATGGTTAGTATAGTTGCGGAGTAGTTTAGAAATGATTTGGTTTAGATATTCAATAATGATTGATTTTATGTTCACAATATACGACAAATGATTATGTTCTCTATTAAAACATATTTGTTTGCTGCTTTGACAGACATATCAAACTAAATAATGAAGTGTTTATTAAATACAAGCATGTAACTATTTAATAACTTTGCTAAGTTTTTGTTTTTATACCTGATTAGATGATCTTTATTATTATTAACAGGTAATCTGTGTCTTCTATCATGAATATGTTATATAAGAAGTAAACTATACTTAATTGTACTTTTTCCATTCAAATATCATAGCTTGACTAAAGGAGAAATTAGATTCATTTTCTCTTTGAAATTTGATCACGATGGTAGTTTATTAGAACAATCTATAACAATTATGTATTGTTGAATGTACATTTGGTTAGTTTAGTAATCAATGTTCTTAGTGTCAGTCGAATCGATTCATTTCTTAGATATGGGAAATAGATTCTCAAATATTATCACGTTATTACTTTTTTGATGATATCAAACCTTTCGAAAATGTTTTCTCTAAACATGTTACACAAGTTTAACTTCATTTATTTAACTGTACTCATTTTATACAATATATACGTGCATTACGGTGAATAACTTCTATGTTGATATCGTATCGTCAATATCTAACTGTACTTATAATTTTTTAATGATGTGTTGTTAGTAATAATTAATCAAGATCAATAGCAAGATAGAAACAATGACGTAAAAGTTGAAATATTTCAAATTTCATTCCTAAAAATTGTCAACAGGCAGAGGAATAATAGGATAAACTATATTGCACTGATCAATAGTTTTGCAATAAACGTGTTTTTCGTACCAATTAATAAGACTAGTGCATCAGAGATGCTCGTCGGGGCACCCAGATGGTCGGGGCCCATGGAGAACCCATGGGGTGACGCCCCAAATGGGGATGGGGCGATATGTTACCCCATCATCTTCCCCACAATGGTGGATTTTCGCAAATTCATTTCCCTGCCCATGGGGTGGACCATGGGGTGAAAAATCTTTTAACCCCATGGTCTAAATGAACTTTTATCATTTATGAAATCGTTTGAAAAAAATGGATGACGAGGTTGTAAAAATTGTCTTATCGTCGTACAAATAATACAGAATGTTACACGTTCTTCCTATATATTTTCTCTTTTGTTCTTCATTTTTGTTTCCCGTTGTTTTTCTTTCGTATTCAAGTAATACTATGAAAACGACGTTCCACTCTTTCGTTTTCTTTCTATAATTTTATAGTTACCTTCACTATTTCTTTCATTTTTCCAGCCGCCATTACTTCTTCTCTTTACTTTCTGTGTTCATCTTTCCATCAGTGACATACTTAGAGTATACCAAAAGTAGTGGTGCAAGTTCTGTAATTCGCTATAACACGTTTTAAGAAACTTTCTCTCTATATAGTTTGATAGAGAAAAGAATGCTCCATATTTCTATAGTATATGATTATACTTCAACTAATATTATAATAATAAAATTTCGATAAGATCTATTTTGTTCACATGTATTACAACAACATGAATGCTAGCAAGTATTTTCTTTTAAATAACTTTTGACAAAAAGAAGATAGAGAACTGCAGTTTTCACTATTAAAATCAGGAGATGAAGATGCATCGAATTGTATATTATATATTTTTTTAATATTGATTTCTGAAGTATTTTTATTCAATTTTCTAACCGCCAGTAAAATGGTTTTTTATGGATAAAATGGAAAAGCAGAAAAGTTATCTTTTATTATAGAAATTGCTAGAAAATCGTATCAGAAGCGCCACTAGAATATAAATTATTGATGTCAAACGTCTGCAGTCTGTAGATTTTCGATTAGTGATTTGAATCTACACTTGATAATTGAAATTTCACTATAAACAACTTACTAAATAGATTTGTTCTTAAAAAAGTCAATTTAAAAAGCCACAGAAAACAGATCAAGAAATTCTGTCATATATAATTTGAATGAATTATCTTTTCTGTTCGCCCTATGGGTGGGGCGAAGGGCGCCCATGGTCGGGGGTGAGCTGAAGTTCAAAAACCCAGACTCCCCATAGATGGGGAAAGTGATTTTATAAAAATTGGCTTGTGGGGAACCCTGCGCATGGAAAGCCCATGGGCCCCATGGGGCGCTGAAAAATATCACATGAGCATCTCTGTAGTGCATGTGTGTGGATGAACTAAAGACCAACACTGACATTGATAGAGGCATCGATATCAAATGTATTGATTCAAGCGTCACTTTGTCATATTGGCGAAAAATAAGGAATTGTTATTGAATGCAGTAAAACCCATTTAAGAGAATTTGCTTAAAATAGGCTTCTCATTTAATCTTTTGATGTTCAAATATGTTTCTGATTTTGACCGTAGTAAAATTTGTAAAACTTTTTGAACAAACTGAGAGAACTGCCTAAATTCAGAAAAGATCTTACGAATTTTAACTCAGTAAAACTTTTTCCAACAATCATAGGATATCAAGTATTTATCGGGATTCAATAATAGCCATCTCTTGAAGATGTTCAATTCCCTTATGTCCTATTGAATACTTATGAAGGGTCATTATATTAATTATAATTTTTTCCTCTAGGAACACCAATGATTAAAGGATGAAATAAAATAGCATATAAACAGAAAAATGCTATTTCAAGGACGTTTTATTATAACTTTGCCTAACCGCATTATCGCAGTGGATTCTCTTAATTTTTCTAGCTTTTCAATAGTCTCTCTTGTATTTACGATATGCGGATGTTCTGGTGACAGATTCATTTGAAAAATTCTATTTGCCATTTCGATGTTCGTGCGTGCTAAATCTAGTTCATTCATGAGCATGTAAACGAGTCCGATATTGTTATATGAAGATGCTAGCTGTATATGATTGGATGGAAGGGATTTTCGTTCGATTTCTAGACCTTGTTGCATATATGACAATGCTAAAGTTTGATCATGTTTATGAGAATACACGGTTCCTATATTCATCAATGTTGTAGCAATTTTAGGATGATTATCCGGAAGTAGTTTCTTCAGAATTTCTAAACATTCACTATGGCTCTTTAATGCCAAATCGTATTTGTATTGGTGCTCTATAAATAGTACCCATATTGTCATATATAGATGCAGTTGTTAAATGATCATGTCCAACACTTTCTAATTTATATTTAAGAGCTTGTTGATAAGCTTCAAGTGCCTTGCTATAATCTGGTATATAATTGTAAACAGTGCCAATATCATTGTACAAATCTCCCACCGATGTTTTGTCAATTGACGATAAATTTGATTTGATATCAAGAGACATATTCAAGTTTTCTAATGCTTCTTTATAATATCCTTTTTCACGGGCAATATTTCCTAGGTTCCAATAACAAGATGCACGTCTTAAAAAATCATCTCATGCCAATGAATTCAAATGTCGTTGAAAACATTTGGCTGCCCTGTCAATTTTACCCATTTTCTTTAAAAGAAGACCGAGTGAAGTTAGATTTGGACACTCGGCTATATCACTTTTCATTGATTTTAATACATCTTTCAATTCGTTATCATTTTCTCCACATAAAATAAGCTTCACTATCCACAACTTTTCGTTTTCATCATAAACTATGTTTTGTAGTTTGAAAACTGAACCCAACATAAACAAGATTTCTTTTTCATCTGTATATGAACCAAAATGACTTATTTCTGCAAATGGCTTTGCATCTATTCGACGAGTAGTAGCATGAATTTCAAATAAAATACGTTTGCGTGTGTTGTCATTTGGATCAGTAGACGATTCAGCAAACATACGTGCTACGTCACGATCTTTGCTAGTCGATAGGAAACTGTTCATAGATATGAGATTACCAATGTGTGTTCTTAGTTTATTTAATTCTCTTAATGCCATTGCTTGTCCGCGATATACAGTGACAATTGTATCTGGAAAATTCTTTTGTTCTTCTCGTAGTTGATAATATAAATCTCGTATTAGCAAACGTAATATAATCATTTTATCGATATCACTGCTACGAAGTACTTTATTTAAGAGTTCAAAGACAAATGGTTCTTTTATGTGCCATTGAATTGCATTGGATGGTCTATAGCTATTTATAAATTCACAGATTTTTGTCCATTGAGTTTCGTCTCGACAAAGAAATTCATGACACATTCCATACAATTCATCTATTGTTCCTGTTAAAGAAGTCATTCGTAATAAAACTTCAATAAGTAACTGCATCCATATAAAATTTCCATTTTCTGTTGATAAATTAGTGTGTGTATTTTCTTTTAAATCAAAAACATTGAATGGTATCGAACTATGAAATCTGATACGCGTCATATTTAGCGGAGATTGTGCAACTGGTAATATCGAGTCTTGTCGTTGATCATCCAATATAATATGATTATCTATTATTATTCCAACTAATTCTTCAATATTTTCAACGACTGCTTGAATCTAAAATGAATTCATAAAGATTGCTAGTCTACTCTATGATCATAATCAACTTACCTTTCGATAATCTACTGACCATATTTGGTTTTTTATTTCATTTTTTGGCATGGAATAAATATAAATAGCCTCTATTTGTGGAAAATCATGCATATACAATACAGTATGTCTTCCGAATAGGCAAGAAATGATTAATACAATTTTTTGATTTTGTACGTTTACTATATAGTCAATACATTCATTCACATTCACAAACATTTTTATGTAGCCAAGTAGTTCGCATAGTTTTGTTTGAGTTTCTAAGGTTTTTTCATTAATGTTGGCACTTTTTTCAAGCCATATAAATATAAAAGGTTGTGACTTCTCGTCTGATGACATCATGATGATTGCAATGGAAAACAATTTCAGTCAAGGATATTGATTAGTGCATATATGTTTTCAAATCGTTAAATATCTTTTTTTTGATTATATGCACTTGTAAATTTCTTTTTCTTCAAGGTGCACAGTAACTTGTTGTTTGCCTGTCTATAAAAGATATGGACCACTCAAATAGTCATAAAGAAGTATGCAATATAAAAACAATATAATCTTATCAAGACAAGTCGTGGTTAAGTCACTGATTTATGTTCGATTGATAAAACAATTTATTGTAATGACGACTACAGTAATCAATGTAGAATTGGATTCAATATCTAGCACAACTGTTTAGAACAATCATAGTTCCAGTGATCAAAAAGTGAGCCAAGCCGATCGAACAGTCCGCCTCATTGACATTTTTTGTATGCGTTGCATTAATAAAGATTATTTCATCTCTCAAGGTCACCATTAACGATATTCGATCATGGCCGTTCGCGATATTCCGTTTTTTACCATTTAATTGTCATTGTGAGAATATTAGAAAGTGATTTCACTGGATTTGTTCTCTCTCTCTCCGCATTAGTGTTGTTCGATTAGAAATGTCGGAGTGAAACGCAAGAAGATTCGCTCGCTCGTGGACCAAGTGCACTAGATGGATCGTTAGCTGGTGAAATCACAGTTTCGATCACATATTGTCTCGATGTATTATTTCCTTTTTTTTTCTTCCAATCTTTTGTTTTGATTTCTTCAGACGTGGCGAGGACTTATATTATACTTGCTAAGGTAATCATCATTATGTTAATGATGTTTCTGATGTTCTTATTAGAAGATCCAGTACGTGTTGCTCGTGTCTTTTGAAGGACATCAACAATGAGTGGGTTGTATTTGTTAGTTATGACGGCGTGTGGGTTCGATACACGTCAATATACAATTAAAACGATATTAAACTGAAGCTAGTCTTACATTGCATATACTTTTGCAAAAAATGTAAGAAGTTTTTCCTTTGTTATACAATCAGACTTCCATCAGCATTCTAAAATCGAAATACAATTTCTATTTTCAACACTTCCACACAACTAATTGTTTAGGATATGGGTATGACGATGAGGATGAAGAAAAATGCTCACTAGTAACCATACGTACACTTTGCTGTTTTTGAAGAGTTCAAAAAATACCGCTCAAATTGAAGATGAATAAATAATGTACCTGCAACTGTTGCTAGATAGTCCTGCTCGTTAGTTTGTTTAATCATACAACTCTGAGAACGAACACAACAATAAATAATTAGCCGTTCAGTCTATAGTAATCTTTACTTTCTACAGCATCTTTAAATTATAATAAGCATGTTTGACGAGAGAGCATTCTTGATCCCAATCTCGTCACTTTTGCTCTTGTTTATGTTAACATTGAAAAGATGCTCCACTTTACACAACATAGAAGAATAGCATGCAGGTAAAAAGTAATGTCTAGCTACTCTCGAATGAAACATTGTTGCTGTTATCAACAGCTCCAGTATCTTGTTTCTTTTTCGCTTTTAAATGTTATCATCTATGAAAAACGAACGGACATTCATCTTCACTAATCATAAACATACCTGAGATCGACAAGAATAAACAATAACAACCATAAAGCTATCTACTCAAGAATCATGTGTGAATTATGTCCTAGAATCAAAAATAGTTTTTTCGTAAGAAAAATTATTTCTCCAATAATGATACTAGTCAGTATTTGTTTAACAGTCTTTTTTATTGTTTCAAATGCACAAAATTATAATAGATATGAAAACCGTGATTCATATGTAGTATACCATGTTGCAAATACAACTTCGGACTACTATATCATCAGAGCGAACATGAATGATACTAAAAATTGTTCATCGAACGCTCTATTTACCTTTGATGTAACAACTGTATACGAAAATATTATTAGCAAGCAAGGAAGACAAAATATTCTGTTCATTACTGTCTTTTGGTTGAGTACAATTGTTGCTGTACTTCTCAGTATATTCGACATCATTTTGGCATTAATAGATCAATGCATGCAGCATCATATAAACTATGAGTCTGTCGAAGAGAACAATTTATTTGTATACAAATTAATGAGTTCGATTGGTTCTCAATTTCTTCACAAAGGTTCATTTATTTTTCCGACGTATTTTATCACTATTTTTGACTATACTCAATTGTGTCTACCGCATCACAACAAAGCATCATTGTTCATTCTCCATCATACCTATATTGGTATTGTTATATCATTATGTGGTATGGGCTATTTAATACTATGGACATTAGCTTGTTGGGATTCACAACGCCATCAATATTTCAAAGACGTTATATGGGTGAAATGTATTGAAGTTTTAACGTGTCGTCATAAACGAGTATCTTTGATGGTGTTTATCCTTTTGTGTTTAGCTGTTATTCCAATAGGTGTCTACGGCATGTTTGTATGGATAACATCATTGATGGAATATGTTTTGACGACAAAAGCAGTTTTAATAGGTTTCCATTTTATTCTAGGCGTCGTTCATGATATGATTAAACATTGTAAACGTTATTAAAACTTTTAGAATTCAAGTAATGAACGATTTCAGTTGTTGTTTTCATTCACATCTGACTGTTCAACTTGCTAGATAAATGGAATTGCAAAAGTAAAAAAAAGAACATGATCCAGAATATAATGATCTTCAATAGTTGCATATATCGTCCTATTCAACATCGAAAGAGATTTTTCACTGACTCATTCATATGATACGGGTTTATTTTGTTGTCATTTGGACGTTTAAAATACTTCTGTAAAATGTTTCTAGAAAAGTGACAAGTACGATGAAATTATTTTTGTTTTTGCTTATCAGCATCCAAGAGATAAAAGAAAGAACAGCTTTGTTACGGGTAATGTCGTTTATGTGCAATATGACTGATTGACTGTCAACTATCTGTTGACCAATAATATTTACATGAGTTGAATCGTCAGAGAGGCATAGCTAACTGCAAATAGTATTGTGTTTAATGTTGTATAAAGAAGAAGCAGCATTTCTCTTTTTGACCTCTATTTTCATTTAATACTTTGCTACTTCTCTATTGGTTGCTTCATCTGAACGTTTCATCGCACCCACTAAAGAAGCAACAAAAGAACAATATACAATCTCTGAATAAATGTACTGGCACATTCGAAAGTCTTAAGTCGAAAAAACAGACATAGAGGAAATGTCAAATTGAACTTTAACAATTTTCGGAACATATACTACCGTCACGAACGAAGGGTATGGGTGTGAGTGTGATGTCTATGCATTGTTTTCATTCACAGCCACGGGCACACTCACACCCACACCTACAAGGGAACTGCGGGACCGTGACCAAAGCTTTTCTACGTGTTCATGAGCGTGATCTTGATCAAGTTTTCCTAAGGGTTGCGAAACAACTGTCGATCAACAATTAGAAATTGTACATTTTCAAATTTTTGTTTTTACTTCGGTTTTCAAATATTTTAAATACAATAAAAAGATTAATGAAATGCCTAGAAATTTCTAATTACTATCAAAACTATAGACACCAAATTGTTAGTAACTATTTATCTTTTCTATCGCATTATATCGTCATGAATATTAGTCAAGTCATCGCAATCATCACCACTGTTACATCAATAGATATCCCATGTCTCTCTAAACAAATATAGCGCACATTTTAAAAATTCCGCCAGGACCACGTTACCATGACCGTGACCGGAGCTAATTTTTATCTTTTATCAGTGACCGTGATCGTGATCGTGATCAAAACAAAGTTGGTCACGCAGTTTCCTAACACCCACACCCCATATACACACCCACATGCCCATCCACACGCACACGCACACCCCATACCCACACCCATGTTGTGTTTATTTCGTAATTGTTAAACTTTGAAATTATTCACCATGGATTTAAATGAAATGATGAGAAAAATGGTTAAATAGACTACTTTTGCTATACGGCCCGATGATTTTTCAAAAACAAAGCCAACAACATAAAAACTTTGAAAATTATTAAGAACGACACAATAGTGATAGACATGAGGCACATAGGCACGCTTCGAATGATATCATTTTTGTTGAATAAAAGTTTGATTGGACGTCATACAATGAAAAATAGCGGAGACTTATGACAAAGCTGACCAAAATAATGTAATGCTTCGGATCTCATATTTTGCCTATAGGTGAAAGTAAATGAAATTATAAGGCGCCTTCAAGAATAAACGTCTATAGGCTTCCTTTCGAGAGTTATAGTTATTTTGCTGGCTTTTATTGTGTGTAAAATACTTTCCGAAATACTAAATGATGAAAATATAATAAAAAAGTTTTGATCCTAACTTCTATCCACTATTGTATTAAACTGCAGTTTGTTCTAATAGGAAAAATAAATTTCAAATTAAAATGAAGAAATTCCCTTTTTATGTCATTAAAATATTTAATAATATCTTTGTTAAGAAGTAAAACAAATGATGCTCTTTTTTCATAAGAATATATTTCCATGTATATTTATGTGTTACATCAGTTTTAGAAAAAAAAAGGTAGTCAAAACTTGACATGAATGGATGATTCATCTTATTTTTATATTGCATCATCCATAGAAAAAAATATATATTTCTTTTCGTTCTGGTCAATAAATGAAAGTAGTGTTTGAATAAAAAAGAATAGAATATGAGTAACAAAAAAAAAGAATGAATGCACCAGCCGGGAGTCGAACCCGAGTGGCTCGTGTGGAAGACGAGGATTCTACCGTT